TGAATATCAGGTGTATTATCAGTTAAATGGCATCCTCAGGGTGTGCAGATCTGAAGACCTGTTCTGAGTAGCTGGCTGATCATTCTGTTGCTGTTGTTCTGAACATGCAAGAGCAGGGACAAGTAGTGCTGGGGCAGAGGTACTTGGGAGAGGAGCATTAAAAGTACATGTTCCCCTAGAAGGGTGTCCCTAGAACTCTGATCTGGGCTCCCCTGGTGAGCAGGCAGAGCCTGGCCCATTCCCCAAAGAGTGCAGCCTAAATAGCAGGAGAGATGCAACTCAAGCAAGGGGAGAAGGTTGCCCAGCATCCTTGCACAGGGCTGCCACTCCAAAGCATATCTGCGCTCAATGCTGTGCAACTGCCCAAAAACTCTTTCTTTAAACTGCAGCAAAGAACCGGGCAGTCAGGGGCCCAGCAGATGCGCTATAGCACATACAAAACATGGCTTTTCTGGTGGCAGAAGACTTGTTTTCCATCATTTCTGCCATTCATGTACTGTTCTGCCTCTTCAACGCAAACACCTATACGACTTGCTTTTTTTTTTTTTCCAGAGCTCAGTGTCCTGCTTGCGTATCACAGCACAGCACAGCATGTTAGACTTTTCAAAACCAGCATGAGGGAGACAGAGGACTTGGGGCAAAGTTGAATCCCAGAGAGGGTGCCTTGCATAGGGCACAGGGGAGCTGATTGCCCAGTTGACCCTGCAAGGGTCCTTCCAGCACATTTCCAGAGGTAATACCATTCACGGCCAGCAACACAGCAGACAGTGCTCTGGCTCCTATCTGAGAGCTGCCTGAAGACGACAAGATTTTCAAACAGCATTGCTGCATTTCTACAGTGAAGACAATTTTTATGTCTACCAAAGGCAAAGGCTGCAATAGCAAATTCATTACAGAAAGTAGTTTGTACCAATTTCTGTTTTCTCATAGGCAAAATCAATAAGACATAGAATTTCAAATCCACTTAGGTTTGTCAAACTAAAAGAATTTAAGAGAGTAGAGTTGCTATGGACAACCACAGAATGCCAATGCATTATCCCAAGCACATTTTTGTAAGTTTGCCCAAGGACCACTCTGCTATTCTCATGTTAAAATGCTTTGATTTGTGTTTAACATTGCTCTTGCCTGTAAGTTCCTCAAGACAGTCATGTCTTGTGTAACAGTAAGCATTTCAAGGATGCTCACTAAATTGCAAGGTTTATTTACTATTGGATAAATCAACCAATTACAATTTAGTGCTTTGGACTCAGGCAGAGTCCAATGTCAGCTGCCTGATGAACACAGCAAACCTATATTTTTAATTAAAAAGGAAAAAAAAAGAAATACACAGTCTGATGGCTGGCCAACAAGAAAAATACACCCCAGTGATTTCAAGATGTAATTACCCCTTTTGAATGGTCAAAATGACTTGTTTACTGCAGATTATAATTCTCTCTAAGGGTACTACAAAATCATGGCCATCCCCTTGCTTACCCCATACACGCACCATGCTGCAGCCAGGAGACACTGGCAGACCCCTATAATGCTGAATGCCTGATCCATTCCTTAAGTGCTTAGGAAACTGTAGAAAACAGGAGGAAGTCAAGTGTTTGAAAGTCTTACAGCATGTGCCAGGCAGGCAGCCTATTTGCCATGATGCATCACATTATCAGAGTGCCTCGGGGTCCTTGTCAACAGTCAGAAACCTCCTGTAGTGGATGCTGCACAAAACCAGAGCAAGTGATAAGCCCTGTCCCACAGATATTACTAGCTATAGGAGATAACTGCATTAGCAATTATACCCTGGAGAGCTGCAAGAGCAAACTGCCTCTTGAGTAATCTCAGTCTATTCTCACCTGTGTCCATTGCTGCAGCCTCTGAGCGATGATCTGGAGTGTCCTCAACATCACAATTATGATTAACAAGGTATTCTGGCTTTCACCTCCTTGCTCCTCAGACAATCGCATGTAGTGGAGTACCTTGGTCCAGTAATGGTCTAAGCTCTCACTTTGGCTTTTACTCAACACTCATATTGATCTGGATTTTGTTAAGAAAAAGGGAAATGTACTTTGTGCTCACATACTTCCTGGTGAGGCTTATGATTGTCTCTGTCCTGAAAGAGCGCAGAAAGGACCAGATAGGAAGCTGCAGAAGAAACAGTGTGAGTAGGTTTCAATTTTCCCCAATGCTACATGTTAGACAACCAGCCCGCAAAGCCATTTGTCGTTCTCCACAGCTCTGCAGAAGAACAAAGAGCAAAAGGGCAAGTGGGCCAGCAGAAGAAGAGACTGGGTGAAATGCTGCACAGGTTTCTTTAGGGAAAGTTGAACTGGTACCCTCTGCTCTTTCTTGGTTCGAGTCAAACTCCCTCTTCTAATTCCTGGAATCATGACCAAACTGCAGAGGGATAGCGTTAAGTCATAGCAGGGTCAGGGAGATCAACGAATTATAAATAAACACACTATGAGCAAATCAATCAGAGAGATAAAAACATTAGACAGAGCCACACTAATTAAAAATATAATAATCCAGATAACGGACATTTATTTAAAGTGATGCAATTACAGCTTTTAATCATCTTGGTTTAACAGCAGTGAAGTGTCTGTGCAAAAGCATTCCCTGTAATGAACTGATATTAGAAAGCCAGTTTGGAGATCTCTCCCTCTCTCTGCCTAATTCTCCCTCCTCTCGTTGTAAAATAACCTTTTGGTGCCTTTTTCTTGAGGAGGTTTGATGATGAAGACACAATATTGGAGCTAAATTAGATCCCCTTCAAATATTCCTCTTCTTTCAAGCTGTAGAAATTGCTGGTATCAGTCATTCAGCCTCTGGTGCTGACGTAACCACACTTGAGGAGAACATCTGGGGGCCCCAAGAGTCATTATAGGGAAAATAAAATCATATATTACAATCAGTCAGCAATTAAAAGGCAGGATGCAGGGGTGGGGGAGATGATCCTACAAGATGCTGAGCTGGCATGCTGGTGAAATCAAAGGGTAGACTTGTGATCTGCTAGGGCTCCTTTGTCCTTCTCTGGATGAGATGAGAGGAGGCCAGAAAGTTTCTGAATCATCTGCTGCCTGGCAAAATGATTTTGGAAGCGGTTTGTATTAAATCAGGTCTGGAAAGGTGACAGATTTAGTACCTGCTCACAGTCAGAGAGCAGGTCTGATCCTTTCCTGGTCTGACAGGCCAGAAATGATGTGACCAAAAGCAATGCACAATTTGCAAGCTGAAACACAGTGTTAAGGGTGGGATCATCAGGAACTGGCAAATCAGAGACTTAACTTAGAGGTAGGCAGGAAAGTGGTCTTCACTGTGCCTGCTTCTGACTTAGCAAAGGTCTTATCTGCAGGTCTTATCTGCTCTGGGCAATTACCGTGTTTTTTCTCCCACAAATCCTCTTTCTCTCACATACGCACCTACAGTAGGAAAGTGTCCTTCCTACAAAAGAGACCAAGATACAGCAGTGAAGATAGTGACAAGTGCTCAAGCAATGATGATGTAGAGATTTACAAACATCCTACAGGAAAAGTTACTGAAAGCAATGATTTTCAGATACCGCTGTGCCAATGTGGATTTGAACTAGCAGGCAAGGAGAAGCAAATTGGCTGCAACAGCTCTGCTGGTCTGCAGTCCCTCACCTCCTCCAGCCAGCAATGCTCTTGTCTGCTCTTCCTATGCCTTTGCTCTCTCCCCTTGACATCATCTTCAGGGTCACGACAGCCCAGAAAGTCCTGAGTTCAAAACTACATTCCCTGCAAAATCCCTAACATGTCTAACCCACAGCACATGCTGGTACCAGCATGGTGTTGGTCCTGCTCACAGCATTTAGATACTTTTAGATACTTAACGTCTCAGTTTTTTTTGTGTGGGGCATAAAATTCAGTTTGGGGCCAATTCCTGAGCGGGAAATGGGCAATATGCAGGGAGTGCACACGTGTTAGTGAGCACGTGCACACCTACACACATGTGTTTCTGCGAACGTATGTCCCTGCTCCTTCCAGAGCTGCTCACCCACTCTTATTTTCTGGCCATTGTCACCAGACACAATTACCTATCTGCATATTTAGTTCTGAGCACACAATTAAAATCTGGAGCCTTTTGAAAAGAGAATTTCCTCTCTCTAATTAGCACCAAACCTTCTTCTTTTTCCTGTTTACCCAGAGGGTGTGCAAACATACAGTGAAAGAGCAAGTGAGAGTCATGCAGTCCTCACTGCTGAAAAAGGCAATGTAATTACCTGGCCTGCACATTAAGATTAATAAATATTAACTTTACTTGGGTTTTTACTGTCCACCTAAGATGGAAAGAATGAGCTTTACTACTTAATCAAATTAGAGCTATAAAGTGATTTCCCTTTTAGAAGGTTCATTTCTGTTTTGCTGGCAATTAACGTTGATGAGTCGAGTCCCATTTTTAAAACGTTTTGAAATACAGAAAATGGCAGAAATGCCACAGTACGTTAATGGATCCGTAATACACATCAGGTAATAAAGCATGAAGAGGCTGTTTACTTTGAGTGCTCCAATTATTTGAGAGCTTTTTAAAAAAAACAAACAAAGCTTACATGTGAAAACTTTTATTTCATTTGGATTAATTTTTAAAAACAAACAGGAAAAAAGCCCACAGCCTTTGAAGTGTTGCTTTGAAATTCCTTGCAAAGATAGGTCAGGGCCAACGCAGACACTTGGGAGCAAAAGCAAAAACCCTTTGCTTTTCTTTCGCTTTTCTCTCATCAGGGTCTGAAGGGCAGCAGGGACCATCTACACACTGAAGAGACCCACAGCTGCCCCTGTACCATCTCTGGGCATATCTCTGGGCACCAATGCACCATCTTGTAGGAGGCCCTCTCTCCTTGCTGAGCTGCAGCTGGGCAGAGT